CAGGCTACAGCTAGCCTGTCCGAAGCCATGCAGCCTACAGACCCTCCTGAGCCTCTGGAAGCTGTCACCTCGGCCTGCACCTCTTTTCTTTAGGGTCCCGAAGGTGACGTCCAGGCGCCCTCAAACCCTCCGCAGCGCCTTTTTGGCCTACTCCTGCATCGCAGTCTTGCCTGCGTCAGGCGGGAGCCTGGGGAGGGAGCCTCTGGAACGTGCAACCCGTGCACTGCAGCCTTAGAACCAAAAGGACAAATCAAAATGACCAAAGGACAAATCAAAATGACCTGTCGGCCGGTGCCCCGCCTGGCTGTTGCCCCTACCCACGCACAGATCCATGATAACGAAAAATCAAAGGCCCCCTAGCCCACACGACCGGAAACAAATCAAAATGAGCTCTCAACCTTTTGAACCTGCCGTATTGTCTCCGCGCCCCCATCTGCTCCAAAACCTTCTCTTCGCAGAAGGCCTGGAAGCGTCTGGCTTCGGCTGTCGACCCGAAGCCTGTCGTCCTCGCCCTCCCGGATCGATTGTCAACCACAACAACGAACAGGTATACCACATTGATATATCGAAAAAGCCGCCAGCAGAGCCGCGCGGTTGTGGGCTTTAGCCCAGGCCACGGCTAGCCTGTCCGCGGCGGAGCCGCACGGTTGTGGGCTTTAGCACAGGCCACAGCTAGCCTGTCCGAGGCCACGCAGCCTCGGCATGGCCGCAAACATACGACGCACACTAGGCATTTTGTGAGGAGAGAACGCCCATGTTCCGTTCACCGATGGGCATTATCCCAGCATAGTGCCCCTCCCTGTTCTATTCCTCCGCGGTGGACTGGAGGGGTTCTAACTACCACTGCGCCACCACCGGACCACGCCCACAGACCAGCGACCGTTTGTGAGCAGCAGTGCTGTCAGCACCTGGGCTGCATCACCGCAGGCCTCACCTGGTCAGCTCTGAGCTGCCCGGCAAGGCCCTCCCACACGGTCGCCGGTCCGCGTGCGTTGTCCTTTGTTGGCCAGATGGCCATGGGAATCCCCGATGTCCAAATTCATCAACTTACGTCAAAACCACTGCCCCGGCAGCACCCCAGCCCACCACAACCGTGCATAGTACTTGCACTCCCGACCTTCAGCTTCCTGAGGCTAGAACGCCCATCTTTCGTCCACAAGCGGCCATTACCCCCGCATCGCGCCCCTCCCTGTTCGGTTCCTCATCCCCGTCCACGCCCATGTTCCGTCTCATCTCTTCCGTCCACGGATGGACGTAGCTTTTCATCGCTCGTCCGCAGTGGACTGGAGGGATTCCAACTGCCACTGCGCCAACACCGGACCACGCCCACAGACCAGCGACCGTTCGTGAGAAGCAGTGCATCACCGCAAGCCTCACCTGGTCAGCGCTGAGCTGCCAGGCCAGGCCCTCATGAACAGTCGCCGGTCCGCGTGCGTTGTCCTTTGTTGGCCAGATGGCC